ATCTATTCTATGTCTTTGCTATGAACACATGAGCAAAGAATCACTCAAGTCGGACTTAAGCATGAAAGTTATGCATGAAATAAGGTGCAATGACATTTTGTAAATAAACCGAACTTATTTTGAATTAAAACAATTAAAAATATGAATTCACACACGACTCTTTGGACTGTCGTACTATTTTTGGAAACTATAGGGACATAAGCGAATAGAAATAGGACTAAATTATATTTATTTTTGAATTGCTATGGACTGTGAGTTAATTCATGAAAAGCGAGAGGGCTTTTCTGAAAATGTCTGCGGCTTGGTATGGGTTGACCCGCTGCTTGGCATTTGGATAGCCACATGGCGCCTGCGGACTAATTGCGGTGCACCATGCGGCGTGGTGGACTTCGACGTCTTGGCACCATGGCGATCCATGGGTCCCGATGGACCGATTATGCATTGAAGCGAGTATGGTTCAATCGCAAACGTCTGTCCGAATCTGAGGGCAAGGGACGCTCGAGAGGAAGCCTCCCTACATCGCCGCAGTACCACCGGTGAGCATGCCATGGCGGCGGCAGGCGGGAATGGCAGCGAGCACGCCGATGCGGCGATTCAACCATCCCGGGACAAGCCAATCACGGAAGCGCTCTATGTGCTGCGTAGCCCCACGAAGCAATGCTGGAGGTGGGGAATGCGCCGAAAGTGCCGATCCACGGTGGCACCATGGCCCTTGAGGTCTAGAGGTTGCGATGCGGCGTTTAGTCTCGCCGTCGATGAAACGGAGGGCATGGGAAGAACAAGGAGCTCACATGAGATGATCGTGATGGTAGCGGCGTCAGAGAAGGTCTCGAGCCACGGAGTCATGGCGGTGGCGGCCGGAGAAGAGACAAGATCTTTGTGAGGAAATCAAGCAGCGGTGACCAAAACAATAAATTAGTGATACCTCGTCTTTGGGGAACCACAGTAGAACTTTGAGTCACCAAGCGTCGAGGTTTAGCGTGGGGCGTTGGATTGCGGCGGTGAAAGCTTTGAGTGCGAGCGGAGGAAAGGGGAGAAGGAGGTGTCAACTCAGGTTTTATAGGCTGGGCGAGGTGCGATAGATGGAAGGGGAGCGAGGAGGTGGGGCGAGCTGGTTGCCTATCTTGTAAGTAGCGAATGACGAGTTGCCAAGCTTGCTTAGCATGTCATCGGAGAAGGTGAAGAAAGAAAGACACCGAGAGAAACGAGGAGGAAAGGAAGGCGTGGGCGTTGATGTGCGGAGCCCGATGGGCGACAAGAAGAAAGGGAAGCGGATGGGTGCGCGTATGGGTGTGTAGCAGTGGGCCAAGAGCCGTCACGGGCGAAGTCTTTGAAATTTGGGCAGCAATGGCGTGACAATGCGCCTAAGCCGATGGGCAGTCACGGGGAGGAAAGCGATTACGCAGTAGGAAGGAAGAAAGGGAAAGGCGCCAGCGGGCAGCGCCAAATGTGGAAGCGGAGCAAGGTATGCGGAGGGAAAAGGAAGGAGAAAGGGGGAGGCGTTAATTTGGGCATGAAAGCGAACTAAGGCCGAGAAGGGAAGGAAGGAAAGGGCATGGCGCGGTTCTAGGTAGGGAAGGCAAACCA